TTTTTAATATTAACCGAAGGGTTAATATATAATCATATTTTTCTAAATTACATACCTATACATAAGCTGCTGCATTTAAAAATAGGTACTTTTAAATTTATGACGTAGAACTGCATTTAAATTATGAAGTATTTATTATGTTAAAAATTCAACAAACTAAAACATAAATACTTACAACTTTAAAATAAACCTACATCTAGAAGAAAGTTAGTTAACCTTATGAGCTAAGTAAAAAATGAAATTTAAAACATTTACTTTAAATAAAAACGCTCATGTTGATGACACCTCGACAAACCTTACGGTACTTGCAGTTGTATGTCACGACCCTCGTAGCTGTATATAGGCAAAGGCCAAATGATGACCAAAAATAAAATCAATTATTATAACATAAATTGCTAATGACAATTTAATGTGTATATTAAAGACAACAATTTATTCCTTGAATAATAATAAATAATCATGCAACATGAAAATTCAATAAGGGCCGCCGTTACACACGAGCGATATTTCATCGTACGATTTGTTTATCGTAAGGAAATATTATCGTACGATACTATAGTTGGCAGAACATAATATGACCGATATTTATCGGACGATACTATGTAATTTTTGCATTTGTAATTCTATAGTTGCACGAGACACTGCACGTCTGCAATATACAGGATAATAATAATCATGATACGGCGGGCGTCCGCACAATGGTATAATATAACAACAAAAAATAATATAATTAAAACTATACAACAATAACGGCACTTAAATCATTTGATTACCTCGTAGAACACAATATAAATGAAGATGATGAGTATAAGTTTACAAATACAATAATACCGTCTACAGACTAACGAACGCCAAGTGGACTGTCTAGGCTTTGAAGTTTGAACGGACAAGACCGACACGTCCGTGATGCTGAATAGTGTAAATCCCGTGGCTTCTGCTGGCTCCTCAGCGAAATCAGCAAGTAGAATGTGGCGAGCAGATACCACACGGACGAGAGATGCCGTGCAATACGTAGGTATACTACCGGACTTCGACGCGGATACGAAACGTGGTTTACACGACACCGACCGCCGGTAATTTTTTAGATTACGTAATTCGTAAATAAACAAATTTTATTCAAGAATTCAACTCTAAAAATGTATTGGGTACATTTTTTTAAATAAAAATATAGTTCTATAATTATATTATTTTGTTGTACTTGTTGCTCTAAAGCCATACATACTTACAGTATTAATAATTCCTATTGTTTTCCTAAAAATAATGTGGTGTAT